CTCGCAGGTATAAGTCACTGGTAGAAGTCAAGCTCACTCTTTGGAACTTCCCTCTGTGGCAAAGCTCATTCCTGCCAGAGCTGGATCTTCTTTCTTTCTGGAGGTAAAGGAATTGCCATCAAGGCTCAGTGATTTCACTCAGTCCCCTTGTGCTTGATGCTTAGCCGTGACTTTGTGTTTGATTTTTTTTTTTAAGGGACAAGATTTTTTTTTTTTTTTTTTTTAAATATAAATCCTTGTGTTGAGGGCTGACTTTCAGATCACAGCAAGGGAGCTGCTTTGCGAGTATGAAATCCCAACCCAAAGGGATATTTTTTGTGTGGTTTATTAACAACATATCTACTAGATGCCATACCCCTCCAGTGTGACTATCAAAAATGTCTCCAGACTTTCCACATGTCCCCTGTCCTGAATCACCCCCAGTTGAGGACTACTGGTCTAACCAAAGCCAAAAGGAGGGCTTATTATAAAGATTCCTATATACTCTTAGAAACTTTATGAAATTATTAATAATGACCCTTCCAGTAATTTGGGAAATGTGCCAGAATCTCAAGAAGGGTGTACAGTTTGCAGAAATATATTCAGTATCATAATACCATTGTATACTTGAATTATAAAAAAAAAGCCCTCTTGTTTTTGCAGTACAAACTGGGGGTTTGATGAGATGTTTATGTGTATTAAAAGTAGGCAGAGGTTTACGGTGGTAGGTAGTTCTCCTCACTTGCACTTCTGTTCCCTTCACAGTTCACAATAATGTGATGTTATCTGCTGCCTGAGGGATACCTACATGTGCCCCACCTTCCAACAGTTTCAAATTTTTTACTGGAATTTTTTCTAGAATTCTGACTGCTCTCTTTTCTGGTCCTTTACTGAATTTTAATGGATTTTGACTGGATATTGTTGGGTAATTAATTGTAGTTTGAACATCCTTGCTTGCTTATAGAATGTCTGTTTATTTCAACAGAAAAATGCTATCTCTGGAATCACTATTCACAAAATCACGATGTGAAAAATATTGTAATAAGTGACTGCTTTTTTCTTTTTCCAGGAATCATTGTAGTTGATCACTTTTCCAGTTCTCAACCACTAAGTTGTGGTAATTGAGGGACATGGTGTTGTGGTTTCCTCACTGCCAGCTCAGAATAGGAAAATACTTGGTAAGGGAGGCAGCATGCATAAAGGTTAAAAGCATCGATCCTGAAGTCAGGCACACTTGACTTCACATCCCAGCAAGTTATGGAACCTTTCTGAGCCTTAGTTTCAATATCTGTGAAATGGGATTAATCACACCTACCTTTTGGCAAAACGAAAGCAGAGAGAGACAAACCAAGAAACAGACTCTTTTTTTTTTTTAAAGATTTTATTTATTTATTTTATTTTTTTAAAGATTTTATTTATTTATTTGACAGAGAGAGCGAGAGAGTACAAGCAGGGGGAACAGTAGAGGGAGAGGGAGAAGCGGACTCCCTGCAGGGAGCCCGATGCGGGGCTCGATCCCAGGACCTTGGGATCATGACCTGAGCCGAAGGCAGACGCTTAACCATCTGAGCCACCCAGGCGCCCCTTTATTTATTTGAGAGAGAGAGAGAAACAGCATGAGAGGGGAAAGGGCCAGAGGGAGAAGCAGGGTCCCCGCTGAGCCGGGAGCCTGATGTGGGACTCGATCCCAGGACTCCGGGATCATGACCTGAGCCGAAGGCAGTCGCTTAACCAACTGAGCCGCCCAGGCGCCCCAAGAAACAGACTCTTAGCTATAGAGAACAAACTGATGGTTCCAGAGGGGAGGTTGGTGGGGGGATGGGAGAAATAGGTGAAGGGGCTTAAGAGTACACTTAACCATGATGAGCACTGAGTAATGTATACAATTGTTGAATCATTATATTGTACACCTGAAACTGGTAGAACACTGTATGTTAACTATACTGGAATTAAAATTAAAAACTTAATAAAAAAAGTCACACCTACTTTCTGGGATTGCTGTGATGATTTACTAAGATAACGTTTCTAGAGTACTTAGCACAGTGCCTGGCATATAGGGTGGCATAACAGGAAGTGGTAATAGAGGAATACATATAAGTCTTTAATTTCTAATGAATTGAGTTTTTCTACCTCCTGAAGTCTTCATCTACTCTTAAAATTTTAGAGCTAGAGGGAACTTTGCAAACCTCCTAGTTCAGTCCTTTTATTTTTTGGATAAGGAAACAGACCAAGTGACTTAGCCAGATCATAGCAGTGTAGTATAATAAATGCCACAACAGGCGTATGTTCAAATTCTATAAATACACATTTTAAAAACGTCTTTATGGAGCTTTAATTTATACACCATAAAATTTACCCATTTGAAATGTATTATTCAGTGTACATTTTTAGTATATTTGCAAAGTTGTGCGACTATCACTACAATTTAAGTTTAGAACATTTTTGTCACTCTAGAAAGAAACCCTGTATCTACTAACAGCCACTCTTCATTCTTCTCCTCTCCCTCCCCTGGATAACCACTGATTAATCTACTTCCTGTCTCTATAGATTGCCTCTATTCTTGACTTTTTGCATTTTATTAATGCAGTCTTATGTGATCTTTCGTGACTGTCTTCTTCCTCTTAGCATAATATTTTCAAGGTTCACCTATGTTGTAGCATGGATCAATATTTTACTCCTTTTTATTGTCCAATAATATTTCATTGTATGGATTACCACATTTTATCCATCCATTCAGTAGTTCATGGACATTTGGATTACTTCTATTTTGAAGCTATTATGAATAATGCTGCTTGGATATTTGTGTACAAGTTTTTGTGTGGAAATACGTTTTACATTCTCTTGGGTTCATACAAGTGGAATTACTGGATCATATAACTGTGTTTAAATTTTTGAGAAACTGTCAAACTTTTCCAAAGCAGCTGCACCGTATTATATTCTCACCAGCAATGTACAATGGTTCTAGGTGCTCACTGTCTTTGCCACCTTATTATCTTATTTTTTCATTATAGCCATTCCAGTGGTTGTGAAGTGGTGTCTCGTTGTGGTTTTGATTTGTATTTCCCTGATAGCTAATGATGTTGAACATTTTTTCATGAATTTATTGGCCATTTGTGTATCATCTTTGGAGAAATGTCTATTCACATCCTTTCTCCATTTTAAAATTGGGCCATCTTTTTATTATTGGTTATAATAATTCTTTATGTATTCTGAATATCAATCTCTTATCAGATATATGGTTTGCAGATATGTTCTACCATTCTGTGGGTTGTCATTTGACTTTCCTAAAAGGTAGCATTTACAGTACAAAAATTGTTAAATTTTAATGTAGTCCAATTTAGTTTTTCTTTTGCTGCTTATGCTTTTGGTGCCATATCTAAGAAACCATTGCCTAATCCAGTGTCATGAAGATTTGTCCCCTGTTTTCTTCTAAGGGTTTATAGTTTTAGTTCTTAAGTTTATGTCTTTGATCCGTTTTGAGTTAATTTTTGTGTATGGTAGGAGGAAGGGTCCTACTTCATTCTTTTGGTTGTGGATATCTAGTTGTCCCAGCACCATTGGTTGAAAGTACACATTGTTAAATAGAGTTTACCCATCCTTTTATCTGAACCTTGAAATGAAAGGCTAGATGGCCTATAAAAAACACTGAGCAAGAGCAAAGACTTTGGGGAAGGGATTTAGCCTCATTAGGTGTCGGGGGGTTTCTCCCCTCCCCCAGCCAATTCCTTAAAGTCTAGATTCCCTGCCTATTAATTCACCATTAGAAGTCTGGTTCTGATTTAATTGGTTTGGGTTGAGGCCCTGGTATAAGCGTTCATTAAAAACTCTCTAGGTGATTCTAGTGTGTAGGCACACTTCAAAACTAGTGAACTAAAGGGTTAACAGTCATAAAGAGGACCAAACAGTCCTCGGGAGGTGCTGCTGGAAGGGGAGATAGGCTGAGGTGCTCGCTGGCTGGTGGCACTGCGGGCCTGCTTTTCTCCGCTGAGCTCCAGGACTGTTGTCCTCTGCTCTACAGGTGGCAGCATCTCCTTACTGAAAAAATAGAATTGTACCCTGTCAGTGCTTTTTGGGGTTAGAAGCCCTTTGGGGATGAGGTATGTGAGATAAGAGGACCTCTACATTTAAGGGGAAAAAAGACCAATAGAAGAGAACATAAATCCCAAGCACTATTTTTTCTTCTGTAAGTGAAGGAGAATACTGTTTTGTAGCACAAGCACTCTAAATTTAAATTTAACTGCATTTTTTATTCTACTTCACTACTTTAGTTTTTACTCTTTATTCTGTGGCCACTGTGAAACAATTTGGCTTTGAAGTAACTATGAGAAAAATTGAATTTTGAAATCAAAGATCCTTAGGTCTTTTAAGTATGTAGAATACAAATAAAAGGGTCTTTATTGTTTTAAATCGTATTTGCGGAAAAGCTTGAGGACTGCAGCCTACAAGGTCTGAAGAGTCCCAGTGCCATGGTTTTTGTGTTGCTTGAAATTCTTGCTCTGCCAATAACAAAGTGTATCGTTGTGTTCCCCACAGTAAATCTTGCTTTCAGTGATTAGTTCCTCCTCTTACGTTGCTAAAAGGCATATCTGATATAAATGCAAAGAAATAACATCAACAACACTCCATATTGTGTTTCTTTTTTTTTAAGTAAATTACCAGTAGCAGACCTCTTGTGATTAGTTTCAGAAATCATTTTGGTACTAGTGTTTCAGAGTCCCATTAGGGATTTGTTTGTGCTCTAGACTAGTGCTCCTCAAAGTGTTTGGGAACCAGTGCGGGTCTGTAAACCGTTTGTTACCAGCCCACAATTAAGGAACACCTAAAAGCTGTGTAGCACTAACTTGACATTGTCTAGACATAGATTTTGTTTTACAAAAACATTGGCCTGCGGTGCATTAGGAAAAACACAAAGCTGGTCCTGCCCAACAGATGGTCAGGAAGCACTGTTCTAAAGGAAGGAGCTTTGAGGAGGAAGTACTTGAAAGAAACTGTCCTTTTTACATTTATTTTCTTTCTCCCAGGGATTTTGTATTGGAAGACATGGATCTAGCCACCAGTGAGCTCAGCATTTATGACAAACTTTCAGAGACTGTTGATTTGGTGAGACAAACGGGCCATCAGTGTGGCATGTCAGAGAAGGCAATTGAAAAATTTATCCGACAGCTGCTGGAAAAGAATGAACCTCAGAGGGGGCCACCCCAGTACCCTCTCCTGATAGCTATGTATAAGGTAAAAGTGTGTTCTGTTGTGGAGATACCTTAGCATAAACTTTTCAACTTTCTCCCCAAAAACTGTCCACTGATTCTACCAGTAAACCTTAGTTTTTCTGTGAATAAATTGGCCTTTGCTCTCGTTACTGTGTTACTAGGAAATTTGACTATTTTGTTAAATATCCTAGATGAAAAGCTATATATTTATAGTTAAACTGTATTTGTGCATATTTTAAACTGTATTTGTGTATAATTTTTAATAGCCCCAGGTCGTACGATAGAAGCTTGGTGAGCCTTGCAGTCCTCATAGTTCTCAAACTTTCAGTGCTCTCAGAAGTGAATGTTAAAAAAAATAATAATAATAAATAAATAAAAATTTTAAAAGAAGTGAATGTAAATGGCTTGTTTATGAAAATGGATTAGTTCCTAAGGCACATTGGAAATAATAGAAGAGGCGGGTTTTTTTCTTGGCATTAAAGTATTTTGTTTGCTGGGACAATTATTAATCCTTTCCCTGTCTTTCCTTGTAGGTCCTTGTAACCCTGGGATTAATCTTGCTCACTGCCTACTTTGTGATTCAACCTTTCAGCCCATTACCACCTGAACCGGTGCTTTCTGGAGCTCACACCTGGCGCTCACTCATTCATCACATCCGGCTGATGTCCTTGCCCATTACCAAGAAGTATATGCCAGAAAATAAGGGAGTTCCTCTGCCTGGGGGTGATGAAGACAGACCCTTTCCAGGTAGAATGCTTCATTTTACTACTTCGGAGATACAGCTCTCTTGACAGTATATGATGGGAGATGAAATAACATGTATTGACATATAATGAGAAACATTTTCCCTATTTCGTCTCATTTAATTCTCTGGGGACTGATGGGTTTTATTGTCCCTGTTTTGCAGATTGAGAAACTGAGGCTCAGAGAGATTAAGAAACTTGCCAGAAAAACACTTCTGGGGGAGCCATATTCAAACCCCGCCCCCGCCAGTGCCAAAGCACACATGGTAGAGAGGAGTGTTTTTGTTTTTAGGAAGGATCTGAATGTGTATTATTCTACCCTTTTCTCCTCTGTGCTCGCTATCCATAATAGGCATTTTAATAAATAGCTCTTGATTTCCTGAAAGCATCTGAGTCCAGCTTGCTTTTAACCAGATCCTTTAATAGTCCTTGCCTGTTGGACTAGGTTTTTGTCCCAGTTTGTCACGGTCTTTTAGTTTAGTTTTTTCTCTCTCACAGTGTGCTTATTTAGTGCTCCTAAGTATACAGTTTTGCTAGTAAGTTGAATTTAAAAAGCATTTAAACTTAGTAAAGGTGCATCAGTGGCGCCACAGGAATTTCTAGTCTGACGCATCATTTGAGGACTTGCCTTCTGAGAATAACATAACATGATAAGACTTGAAATTTACTTTTTGAGAAACAACGGAGGGGATTTTGTTATTTGGTGGTGGTAATCTTATTTGCCCATGTGAAGGAATATGTAAATTAATTTCACAGATGGATTTCAGAACTTTTTATGTAATCATGTTCTGAAACCTTTAGGTTCCAGCATAACTGTTCAGGAAGTATGTTTTCTCTTCAGTGTTGCTTTCAGCAAAAATTTCCTAGTGGAAACTACACTTTATAATGCCCCTCTTTAAGCCAAGACCTAATCAGTCATAAAAATCACTTGGATTGAGTCTCCTTTGAAAGCTATTTTTGTACACTTGAGGGAGGAAATTATGGAAAGATTTCCAAAATTATACTAAAATCAGAGGAAGGGACCATTATAAAACAAAAAGCCTTGTGAGGTTTTTTTCTTTAATTAGCTCATATATAGAAAGTTTTTAATTCCAGATTTATTGAGAGGGTTGTTTTTGAAATGTCATCAACAAAGCTAAAAAAAAAAAGTGACATTTCCAACATCCCTGTCAGGAAGGTCCAGAGCACACGGGGGAAAGATCCAGAGAAACTTGTCAGTCAGGCCAGCCTGTACTGCGTCCTCACATGCATTAGCCTCCTTTCCCTTCTTCCTGTCACTGCCTCCCTCAGGGTATCTTCTGCTCTTTGGCTCACAGAGTTGAAGTTAGCAGTGTTTAACAGCAAGTTGATGGCAGTTACTTTTTTTCTCCCCATCCTGTAAGGAAAATTTCCACAGGCTATTGAATTAAGAAGTGAGAGTCGTTGGACCATGATTGCTTATCCTCTAAGTCAGAGTCTAGTAATTCAAGAAACCATAGCATCTCATCCACAAGCCTAACTATTGGGTCCACTCCAAATGAATATTTTGCCTTGCAGATGGAAATAAAATGAGTCCTTGGAGCTCAGTTGTAAAGAGAGAGCATTGGAAGGGTGTGGTTTTAGCTCTCTAATGTTGTTGACTCTATTAAAGTGCTGCTTTTACTTGTAAATGTGGATATTGATGCACCATATTTTCCTGTGTGTGATCATTCTGGGAAGCTGTGGCCATGTAAAACGAGCAGCGTATTGCATAGCATTTGGAAGGAAACTTTAGAATGTGCATAATATTATAAGGGGTAAATAGAAACATATTGGGGAGAATTAGGTACAAGAAATAGGAACTGCTGGGCCCATAGAGGGCTAGAAAAGGAAAAAATGTAAGTTATCGTTCCTAATGTCGTCGTACCAAAAAGACAGCTGCCTTTTATTCAGGATTACTTAGTGATACTTTTTTTTTTTTAAGATTTTTAAAAATTTATTTGACAGAGACACAGTGAGAGAGGGAGCACAAGCAGGGGGAGTGGAAGAGGGAGAAGCAGGCTTCCCGCTGAGCAGGGAGCCCAATGCGGGGCTGGATCCCAGGACCCTAACGACTGAGCCACCCGGTCGCCCCAACTTAGTGATACCTTTAGAGTAAATGTAGAGAGAAATGGCATGGCAGATTCGGCTCCCTGAAGGAAAGCCCACAAGCATATTGGGGCTGGCCTGTCTAACCTGTCACCCGTCCCCACTTCCCCCGCCCCCCCCCCGGCCCCAGTCATTTGACACTCCTTGCAGCAGCACCTTGGGAATGACCCAGGGCAATGGTGGGAGCAGTGCTGATGTACCTGAGGCACTGCCACCAATGGTGCTAGGTTTCCTCCTGACCTCTGGTACTTTTTCCTCTTGACTCCACCCAGGGAACAAAAGGCAACAGAAGTGGGGTTCTTTTTCTAGGTTCCAGCCTTGGATAGGAAACCCTGCTCCTGAATCCTCTTGATGAGAAGAACGAAGTGACTCTCTAGTGACTCACGTCAGCCTCCCACTCTGCAGCAGAAAATAAATAAGCTGACACTTACTTAGTACTTAGCGGATTGCCAGGCCCTGTTCAAAGGGTTTTCCATATATTGTCTCATTTAATCTTCACAATATCCCAGTGAGGTAAGTTCTGGTTTTATGCCTGTTTTAAAGATGGAGATGCCGAGGTACAGTGACATTAGGTCACTTGCCCAAGGTCCCAAGGCTAGTGAGTCATAGAATCAGGATTCGAACCCAGGCATCCTATCCTCAGAGTCTGATCTCTTAGCTTCTGCTGGGAGTAGTGTGTAGCCTCATAGTATGCCTGAAGACTCTAGCTTTAAGTTTGATTTTGGGGAAAAAAAAATACTTGATTTTGGAGTTCTTCACTCTCAGCTCTCAGCTCCCTAGTGCCTAGAACAAGGTTTTGCAGCTGGTACTACAGATCCAAAGATAAGCCAAGCTCTTGGCCCTTTAGAATTTTCCCGATCTGGTCTTTTCCTAGGCATTCAGCCCAGCTCATCTTCCTGGTCTGCACGTTTATGGGTAATATTTGACTTGTTATTTGATTAAGTCCTTTATCTTATTAACCCATAGTTTTCCCTTTGCAATCACATTCTTAGTTCTTGTTTCCCCCCCAGCCTTCTATCTTTATACCCACTTTGATCTTACCAGCCGTACTCTTGGCTTTCACCCTTCCATGGCATCACTGAGTCTTAGAGCTAAAAAGGAACTTTAGCGTTGATCTAATGCATAGCCCCATTTTATAAAGAGGAAATGGAGGACAGGAGAAGTGAAGTAACTTGCTTACCCAGCTAAAAATACCAAACTGGCACTTGAACCTTTGTTTCTTAACTCTAGTCTAGTGTTCTTTCCATCACACCACACATACTGCCTGCTGTTTCTGCCCTCAGCCAAGCCAGGCTCCCTCATGTTAGGCCCAATTACTTTGTTTACTTCAGGCATCTGTAATTTTTTTTTAAATTTTATTTTTAAGTAATCTCTACATGCAACATGGGGCTCAAACCCACAACCCTGAGATCAAGAGTCGCGCGCTCTACTGACTGAGCCAGCCAGGCGCCCCTAGGCATCTATAATTTTTAACTGTGACACCCATTTATACTGAGGAGGCCTGGAATAGTTCCCATCTACAATGAGAAAATGTATCTCTTGATCTGTACTGCATAACTGGAGCTCCATGTATCCGTGAACTTTCAAGGGAAGGTTGAAGTAGATCCGGCAACATCAAGGAGTTTTGAGAATAGTAGATCATTTGTGGACTTAGAACTAAGGACCTAATCAGAGTCTAGGCCAGTGCCCAAAGATGAAATGCTCGGACCTCAGGAAATGTCCTATTCTTTATTTGCAAATAAAATTTGAGGTGATAATAGCAACTGTGTCAAGCACTTACTGGATATCAGGCCCTGTGCCATGTACTGGGCCGTGTATTTCCTCAGTAGTCACAGCAATCAGAGTGGTTACCGTTTTTATGTCCATTTCAAAGATGAGACTAGTGTGCCAGGGGATTGACTATTCTAAAGTCTCACAGTTAGAAACCATGTTTTTAAATTGAAGTGTAGTCGACACACAATATTAACCCTAGTTTTAGGTGGGCAGCACAGTAATGAGACAAGTCTGTATGTCATGCTGCTCTCCCCACAAGGGTAGCTACCATCTCTCACCAGTGTGCTGTTACAGTACCACTGACTGCATTCCCTAACCTGTACCTTTCATCTCTGTGACTCATTCATTGCATAACTGAAAGCCTGTGCCTCCCAGGCCCCTTCACCTATTTTGCCCATCCCTCCTCACCCCCCTTCCCTCTGGCAACCATCAGTTTGTTCTCTGTATTTATGGGTCTCTTGCTGCTTTTTTTGTTTTGTTTTTTAGATTCCACATGTAAGTGAAATCATACAGTATTCATATTTGCCTGACTTATTTCACTTAGCATAACATATCTTCTGTGTTCATCTGTGTTGTCACAAATGGCAAGATCTCATTCTTTTTTGTGACTGAGTAATATTCCTCTGTGTGTGTGCGTGTGTGTGTGTGTAACATGTAGGATTTCACTTCTCTGTCATACCTTTTTAAAATATAGACTAGCTGGTGTAGGGCGCCTGGGTGGCTCGGTCAGTTACGCGTCTGCTTTCAGCTCAGGTCATGATACCGGGGTCCTGGGATCGGTCCTGCATCAGGTTCCCTGCTCAGCAGGGAGTCTACTTCTCCCTCTACCCCACCCCCTGCTCGTGATCTCTCTCTTTCTCTCTCATGTTCTCTCTCTCTCTCAAATAAATAAATAAAATCTTTAAAAAAATAGCTAATATAAGGAGGCTATTTGGAGTAAAGAAACCTTAGACGTGAAAAGAAAGTTAGGAGGGCGCCTGGGTGGCTCAGTTGGTTGAGCGACTGCCTTCGGCTCAGGTCATGATCCTGGAGTCCCGGGATCGAGTCCCGCATCGGGCTCCCTGCTCGGCAGGGAGTCTGCTTCTCCCTCTGACCCTCTTCCCTCTTGTGCTCTCTCTCATTCTC